CACGCTGGCATCTCCACCCAGCTGGTTCCGGTCAGGTGCAGAGGTGCGGAGACAAACGAATGACCTTGGGATAACCCAGGAAACATTTTAGGCTAACCTCGTTGGGGGGAAGTGCCATCTATAAACCATCTTGTATATGTTTTCTTTGAATGCTGTAGATATTGTAAGTTTAATAGTCTGGAGCTCCATAGCTCTGGAGCCGCATGTGGCTCTTTCATCCCTCTGCTGCGGCTCCCTGTTGCCATTTGGCACCACAATTTTGAGAGGAGCTTCCGGTTGAGGGCGGACGGAGTGGGGGAAGCAGGGCACGCCAGGAGGAGACTCTGTGGCAAGGGTTTTCCAGTCAGCTCCACAATTGATAGGGCTTTCGGTTAGGCCAGGTAGAGGAAAAAGGACGGCGCATTAGGAGGGGACTCTATGGTGGGGAAACCGGACTTCCAGCCGAATCCAGAATTGAATGGGAGTCTTCCGGTTAGGACCCTTGTGGCTCTTTCAGTGTTTAAGGTTGCCGATCCCTGGCCTAAACCTTTGGTGCATGAATGGATAAGATATTAGGATTTGGTGCAATCTGCATCCCTTGTTTTATTTTCCCGTGCAGCCCCAGGAATGAAGTGGAAGAGAAGCATAAGAGCTCTTGTCACAGACATACCTATCGCTTGCTGCAGCACGACAGCCAAGACGCCAGTGCCGAGCAGAGGTAGGGGCTACGTGCCATTCTCTCTTCCTTGATGCTTCTAGCACAACAAGTGAATTTGAGGAAAGGGATCACCTAGTCTAAAATTCCAGAATTAGGCAATACGGTTGTCGAAATCCAGACTGTTTTCTTCCCCGGCTTCTTAAGAAGAGACTGGGCTTTGGTTCTCATGGGACTAACGTTTAAAAGGTTCTTGCATAAGCCAATTACTTCTGATCTGGAGAGGATCAGTTATCACATTAAGCAACGCTTGATCGGAATAACTCATTCCATTTGGAATTGAAATCCAATTTGGAAAACGGATCCGTTTCTCTTGGATGTCTCTGTCCAATCATTGGCCGGATTTGACATCTGGAAATCTGACCCCGAGATCAGACCAGATCAAATCTCCAACACGCTCCCATCGTGAGACCGCCAATGAATAAAATCTGATAACCCTTAGAGAAATATGGACCATGTGAGCAGTTCAGCATTAGCATTCTTCTTGGTGGTTGCACGTCGGAGACGACTTGTCAGTAGTAACTAGGATTGCTGGCTAATACAAAGTGGCCCTGGGATTTGGATGGAGAAGATCTGGATTCATTCCTCCGAAAATCAATTAAATTGACAATATTATAATGATAGGAAACCAAACACGAAATGCATTTAAGGCTTCTTCGATCCTGTTGTCAGCGTTCCAAATATCATCCAAAATTAAATCAGAGTTCAAGGCAAAAGATTCCTCAAAGTTCCAATTTATTAAGAGAGCCATGTTTGCACATCTGTGGAAAACCCCAATCTGAAAGCTTCCGGGGTTTCCCACCCAGTTGAAAGTTCATGATCTTGCCCCCCATACCCCCCAAGTCCATCACATGGTCCAATCTTCCACTGCCACGTTGGCAGTTCCACCCATCCAGTTCCGGTCAGATGCAGAGGTGTGGAGACAAAGGATGACCTTGGGCTTCTAGAAAGGAATTTTTTATTTTGACAACAACACATTCTACAATTCTACTCCTTACTATTCCCCCTCCCAATTCCCCACTAATGAAACAGCATAGTAAAATAAGAGAGAGGGTGGCAGGCCAAAGATCCTAAAAGGAATATGGCTGGAGGCTTGACACCTGTGTCTTCTTGGTGAAGAATGGGGTGTCCTATTAAGGAAAACTGATCCATCGGATGGCAAAATAATAGCCTAAATTCACCCTTTGACACATGCCACTTTGTTCCATGGCTGAGCTAAAGTTGATCCAAGACCTCTATCATGCTACCCTTGGCTGGGACGTCTGACAAATGGCCTTCCCATTCTCTTTCCTCTGCAGTGATCACGATGATGAAGTTGTGAGCTTGGCTACCACTTCTGGCGGGTTCACAACCAAAGTGACGGCCCAGCGGCTGCCAGTGAAGGACTGGAAGGCCAAAGTTTCTCCTCGGGCCTCTCCGAAGCTGAAGAGGAAGGGGAAGAAAGATGACAGGTGGGTGTGTTTATGTGGGTGGAAACAGCGGCATTCCATATAGCAGCCAATCAGAGGGAAAGGCGGAGAGATAGACATAGATTGATGGTGGTTGATAGACAGACAGACAGACAGACATGATGGGCATGGGTAGACAGACAGACCATTTCCATGAGCTTTTAGCCTCACATGTCTATGGAGATTCTCAGTCCTCCAGGTCATGGTTGTCACAAAGGTGCTTTTTCAAGAGGCAACTGGACTTTCTGCGTTTTTTCTTTGAAGACATTTCAATTCCTATCCAAGAAGCTTCTTCAGCTCTGACTGGATGGTGGGGAATGGAAGGATTTAGACTCCTTGCAGACAGCTGGTCATTTGCATCCTTTTGGAGGGTCCTTGAAGCACCTGGAGGTTTATCTGTGTTCTCAGAGTTACCTGAGTGGTACAAATGGTTCTTGCAGTCTGCAATTTTTTCCTCTGGAAATCATTTCCTCCTCCCACAACATTCAAAGTTTGCTGTTCATCCCAAATTGTATAGCTAAAAGCCTGCAGAGATTCTCAGTCATCCAGGACATGGTTGTCCCCAAGGTGCTTTTTTCACGAGGCAACTGGACTTTTTTTTTTCCTTTGAAGACGTTTTGCTTCTCATCCAAGAAGCTTCTTCAGCTCTGCCTGAATGGTGGGGAATGAAAGGATCCTAGAAGACAGCTGGTCTTTTGCATCCTTTTAGAGAGTCATTGAGGCCACTTGGAGGTTTCTCTATGTCCTCAGGGTCACCTGAGTGGTGCAAATGGGTGTGGAGCCTTCTTGGAAACGGCTGAAAGGATTCTGTGTGGTGGAGCTGTGTTTCCTGCAGGATGTTTTCTGCCCTGTGTCCCTTCACTGTGGAACACAACGCAGGCTCTTTGGGATGAATCTCACAATTGTAAGATCTATACCCTCCTTCACCAGAGGTGTCGCCATACACTGCCTTGCTTACAGAGTGCACAACAGCCAAAAGGTGGCATTGCCAACCACAAAGTTTTCTGTCGGAATCCCTAGTTCTCCCATGAGCTTAGAACATTAAAACAGGAATGACGTATATTGTATACTAGGAAACCTTTCAGATACTAGCTAGCTTCTTATCTATTTGTCTAACCATCTATCTATCAATCAATCTCCAATGTGATATCAATTCCACCCTTATAGTTCAATCTAGTTTAAAACATCAATTTTGCCGCTTTATACTAAGAGTCGTACTGCCATACCTCTGGGGAGGCAGCACATTTTTTCCTCTGGAAATCATTCCTCCTCCCACACCATTCAAAGTTTGGTGTTCATCCCAAGGCGCTAGTCATCACTTATAAAGCCCTTCATGGTATTGGACCTGGGTACTTGAGAGACCTCCTGCTGCCAGTTACCTCCACCAGACCGATTAGATCCCACAGATTAGGCCTCCTCTGAATTCCATCCGCCGGCCAATGTCGACTGGCGACTACCCGGA